TGTGTAAGGTTTTGTCGAAGGACCGGATCAGCCAAAGAGAAAAACTTGGCAAAAAGGTGCAAAATCTAAGAATAGAGTGTAATTTTTGACCTTAACAAAAGATCCAGAGTGATTGTTTTATTTGGGAAGTGCGACTTTTGACCTTAACAGAAAATCCAGAGTGATTGTTTTATTTGGGAAGTAGAAAGAGTATTTTTAGAATTTGCAATAAACCTTTTCCCTTGCACTTTACTAACACCTTTTTTTGTAAGTTGACAAATGGGACTTTCTATTCTGAAGTGATAATCAGATTGTTTAGCTGATCGGTGCCGGTGATCATGATCTCTATGGTGGACTACTACGGGATTGAATATGCGAGTGCGGCAAGCTTTCATGGAGCCTGTTGAAATTTTTTTTAAAATTACTCTTAATTGCCTGGTATTAAGTTTGGTTGCTTATGACTCTGATGTTTTTCAGTCCATTGTTTCGAAAAAAAAAATTGATTCTTTTCGGTTTTTTGCTAAGTTGAGTTATGTAGTGGTTTGTTTTTAAATTGTCGGTACTTCAATTTTACAGTTTGCGTTACAAAATGGAAATTACTTTTTTTGGTTTTCTTTATGAAGCAAGCATTATGTTGTGAAATCTATTTAGTACTTCGTACAGCTTCTAAGATAAAATTAATATTATTATGTAGAGCCTTTGTAATGTCTTTGTTTTTTCAAAGTGTTAGTTTGTTGCAAAAGGAACGAATGGCAGATATGAGTAAGGAATGAAGGCAGCTATTGCATTTTCCTTACCTCAACTGCCCTATGCTCCACGTGTGATATGCAGATGTCCGGCCTTGAGACCCGGGTCTGCGATACAAAAATGATACGATTAAAACTGATAGTAGTTCAGTAGTATTACTGTTGTTGAGTTGTGTTGCTGCCGGCTTGCTTTCGGGTTGTCGTTCCTCCGAGGTTTCACTTTTTTTTAAAATAAATTTTATTTTGATGTAAGGTTTATCACAGGTCCTGAAGCATCTGGAAGGAGGGAGGGGGAG